AGTGGGGATCTTCCAAAGTTGTAGGAGTTTAAGTGCGGAGTTAATTCTTTGTGTTTCTATGGACAGTGTTTTCTTGCTGAGCTGCAGTGAGACAATTTGTACTAAAATGGCAGCTTGATTTTACTCACTCAGAATCCTCACAATGTCTTTGCTGAATCCTCATAACATCTTTTCCTGCACTGTGGAGCTCCGCATGCAAAATCCTGCTCAAGTCGAAGGACGCAAGTATTAACAACAACATGTAGTTAAAGTATTCAGTAAAAGTACTTCTGATACATTATTATATATGGTGTCATTAGATAGTTAATACTGAAGAATCAGTGTGTCAGCAGCAGGTTACTGTGGGAGCTGCTGCTGCAGGAGGAGCCAGTTTGATCTACTTTTATACACTTTTATATTCAGGGACAGCAAATAAATCTGAGGGCTCGTGAGATAATTAATCTGAGAGGAAGGCAGAAAAAACAAAGTTCTGAAACACAAATCTTTTTACAGTTTCTTGACTTTTCCTCTAATCTTTGATTGTAGCTGAGATATTGGATCATTTGAACATTTATCGAAATGAAACCATGTGAGAAGTTTAGAGGGAGAAATCACTATTTGGTGGAGCTGTGAGCAACTCATAGACATCTGAAATGTGAACTACACACTGCTTTTTGTAAGAAGCCTAAAGGTTGGAAACCACTGGTTTATTCTTTAACAGTGTGGTGTAGTTTAATGTCTTTTGTTATCACTTCCTTTCACAAGCAACTAACAATGCTGGATAAATGTAATGTCGTGGAAAGTATAATATTTGACTTTGAAATGTGGTGGAGTTGAAGTATAAAGTTGCATAAAATGGAAATACTAAAATTTCAAAACTGTACTCAAGTACAGCACTTGATTAAATGTACTGAGTTACTTTTTTTTACCAGTGCTGGCATGTGAGGAACGCTGGCTTCCTTCATTGCTGATTGTGAGTAAGATGGAGCTTTAGAGGAGGGAGTATAGCAGACAAAGAGCCTGGAGCTGTAGATCTACATTCTAACATATGGTCATTAACTTTGGCTGAAACAATACGATCATAAACACAGCTGACCTGAATTATTTCCCTTCATATGAGGGTCTGGTCTCAGCCTCAGAGACTCCACCAGACCTTCTGTTTCCAGATAAACCTCAAAGGAAAACCTCTGCTTTTTTAAAAAGGCATCCCATACGGATACCACACTGCAGAGGGTTTTCTGGGCATTTTCAGCTCGGAGGAGACCCACAGCACAATGGAGGGATTATATATGTGTCCCATCTGACCTGAGGATGCCTTGGGAACACCAGGAAGAGAAGCAGGATGAGTTGTGGCTGAGGAAACGGGCGTCTGGGCCGTAGCCTGCGTCCCCTGTGACCTGGACCATGTTGAGAGCCGAGAAAATGGATGACACACTAAAATAAAGCAAAACAGTGCCCAAGTTGAAAATGGCAGACACGAATTCTAAGCTGATGTCACTTCTGCAGCACTTGATCTTCATTAAGGTTGTGCTTTGAGTATTTCCTCTTTTTTGCTCCACTTTGCTACATTTCAGAGAGAGATGTTATACTTTCTACTTCACTAAATGCTTTTAGAGCATGAGTTACTTTTAAATTAACATTCTACAAAATTGATAATACAACAAGCTTTTAAAACACAACATATAGTTCAAGATTAAGCTAATGGTTGCTAACCTGTTTGGCTTCTTCCAAAAAGCAGTTGTGCTCAGACGTCTCTGAGTTTTTAACAGCAACACCAAGTTGGGATTTTAAACTTCTCACATTGTTTCATTTTAATACATATTCAAATGATCCAATACCTCACCAAAAACCAGAGAAAAAGTCCAAAAACTAAACAGATTTGTGTATCTGAGCTTTCATTTTATCTGCCGTCCCTGAATATAACACTGGATATAAAGTAATTCAAACTGCAGCAGCAGCAGCATCAGTAACCTGCTGCTGACACACCGATGCTTCACTGTTAATAATCTAATGGTGTCATATATAACAATAGATCAGCACTTTGACTTTAATACTTCGACTGCATTTTATTGTTATGCACGTTTACTCATGTCGCACATGTAGGTGTTTTATTTGTAATGGAGTATTTTCACACTTCTGTATTGGTGTTTTTACTTAAGGTGGCCTGTTCTGAATTTAATTTTACAGCTGTCATCTACGGGAGCATATCCTTGTTGAATCAATGTGTTGCCCACTATTTTACAAGGTGAATATGAAAGTGTTAATTTGAAGCTTGAACCCACTCTGAATTGCAAAATCTTAACTCTTACTTCTAACACAGCTAAGCCTAACCAGCCTCTTGTAAAGAAATCTGGTGTGTTTTCCATTATTACAACTACAACAACGCCGCCATTAGCATAGGCCAAAGCAGTCTGTTTCGGCCAGCCACGCGCAGTCATGAAGTTGTCATCGCGGTGAAATGTGAGGGCAGCTCTCTCCTTTAAGGCCTCCACCTCCCCCCCCCAGATACATTGTGCTCATTATATGGGTCATGAGCCCAGGGAGGGTTTGGGCTCTTTAATCAATGAACACGATGACACAGGGTATAAGTCACGCTGGTATTCAATCGAGCATACCATGGCAACCAGAAGATGAAGACAAAAAGTCCGAGAGAAAAAAAGAAAAAAAAATCGTACAGTACGGTCCGGATTAAAAGTATGGTGGATGGATGCTGTGTGCAGCTCAGAGAAAACAGGTGGATGGTCCTATATGATATGTGTGTGTTCTCCCTCTGTTTCATTTAGTTCCTATACTGTAATTACACGGATGAGACTCACTTCAAGGCTCTTTCCCTCCAGTGCTCCCTCTCTCTCCCCTCCCTCACTCCAAGTCTGTGATTTCATGTATAATTACTTGCATAATTATAGTTCCCTCCATCCTACTGTTTCAGGAGGTCTGTTTCTGTCTCTCTGGTATCTCTTGCCTTTCTTTCTCGTCGACGCTCACACATTCGCACACACACACAGACACAACAGCGCTTGCACCCTACTGATTCTGCCTCCCTTTCCCTTTGCCTGGTGGTAAGACTTGTCTTGTCACTTTCCTTTGTCTTGTCTGAGGCAGGCCTGTTCTAATATTGGAAAGACAGAGGAGCAGATACAGTGTGCGCGAAGAAGCCAGTGGTTTACTCCTGAGCTGCCATGCTTCCTCATTAATTATTCATCCAGGCATCACAAACTTAAAGAGCCTTAAGGTGTGTCACAGGGAATGAGGGGAAAACAAAATGCTCTGTAATTTTTTTGTTCTGGCTTACTACTTAAAGCTTTCCGCGAGACGGAGAGCGGTGCACACACCCACAAACACTGTCAGTAGCATTGTAAACTAGCACCTTCTCATGTTTTGAAAGTTTCTTAAGGCTCGCGGATGATGCCAGTAGATACAATTAGTTTGATTGCTTAGCAACTGAACATCACTTTTGAGGGAGGGAAAAACTCAGGTGGAGTATTGAGGTTACACGCTGTTTTTTTTTTGTTTTTTTTATTCTGAAGAATCTGTTTTTCCCAAAACTTCCATGCAAAGTAGCACGCGGTGTATCTTCAGCGCCGCTTTCATGTGTCAATCAGCGGAGTAACACACCACGCTGTGTCTTGGGTTAACTGACAATAAGATTATATCAACAGCACACATAATCCACACACACACACACACACACGTGCTCGCAGAGTCATTTACCGCTCGACAGGGTTCAAAATTTAAGCTTTGTACTGCACTGCAGGTCTACTGTGCAACCAATCATGGCCTACTTTCAGGTATCTGGAGGATTTCCCTGCTCTATCTGGGCATGTGGGCCCTCACCCTATTCCAAGTCATCTTTAACAACATGCTGCAATGTAAAGAAGGGAAATGCAATCCATTGTGCTCAGAAGTGCTGAGTGTTTCGGGGCGAGTGCCAAGAGTCAGGATTAGGCTGGCACATTTTGGAAGCCTTCAGGGTCGCAGTTTCAGTCGGTGGTGCATCAGTAATGTAATAGTTCTAAATAACCTGCCACTCACAATTACAATAGAGGCCTTAATGATGGTCAGTGTGGTCTTTGTCACTGTGCTCTTACCCCCTCTGCTGGAGAGACACGAGACCAGGACCTGATGCAGTCGTTGGTGGGATAGGCCTGGAGAGTAAAAGTACCCTCATGTCTCCAGAGGAGGGTGATATATTTATTCTACAGCAGACAAGACCTCAAACTGTTTCATGTGTTCTGCCACAACTTCTGCTTTTAGTCTCCAGCTTTTTTTTTTTCTTTCTTTCAAATCTTCTCCAGTCAGATGGTCGAGTTACAGGGGGGGTGTGAGGGAGGGCGGGGTCACTTGGGACGCCGGTCTGAGTTTGCAGCACATCGGTGAGGCTTTAATTTGGTGTGCGAGGCGAGCCGCGGCGGACTCTCCCAGCAGAGACGGTGCTGTGTTTGTTTTGCGGGTGTGTAAATTAGCGGTAATTCGTTTGCTCAGTAATGACGTGGGAGAGCTAATTAGGGCAGTGTTGATGGGTGCATTAATTAGTCTCTAGTGTGTGATGCTAATGAGACCCTGATTTGGAGTGTGTGTTTGTGTTTGCATGTGCATGAGTGTTAGCCATGTATCTGTAAAGGACCTACCACTATAGGTCATGCCATGAGGAATGTAGCAGAGAGCACATGGGGATGAGTAAATACAAGGTGTCTGAGTCAACACATGAACTCTGAGTGTGTGTGTTTGTGCATGATGGACCCAGCAGCAGGACTATATCTGTGTATAAGAACCTCTTTAATCCTGGTTACTCCATGATGTCGGCCATGCCTGGCTGAATATTGATCCCTCCACTGAACCATCGCAGGGCCGAGATGGGGGCCTCTGCTCGCGCATCGCACTTGTAACACCGCAGCAAGGAAGCCGAGGTGTGCAGCCGGTCAGTCACACCGCGGTGGTTTTCGGTGCTATGGCTGATCATAAATTCATACCGACCTATAAAAACGTCCAGGACACAAAGCAAGACAACACAGACAACACGGTGTAATGGATGAAAGGCTGTTTTATAAGTGTGTTCAGTGACAGGTCCACTCCACAGATAAGAAGGATCCATCTGTGTGTGGTCACAGCAGGGCAGCGCTACTACACTTCTCTGTGGCTTCTCTCAGTCAGGATGTGACAAGGTGGCAGCTTGCTCAAAGAATTTATGGCATATTACTGATGTGGCATTCATCATAGCAGCGGTGAAAGGCAAGCATATGCAGAGGGAGGGGGGGTTGGTGGTGGCTTTAGAGCCTCACCAGTGATCTATTCTAATCATATTTATTCATGACTATCCCGTTATACATAATCCATTACTATTCCTGTTCAACTGTATCCTCTGCTGTTTCATCCTGTCGCTCATTTCTTCGCCTCCTCTGCTTTCTCTTGTAAAACTGTGGAAGGGAAAAAGAGAAATTTTAAATCAGCGCAAGAGGCCAGTAGATCATCCTGAGTCACATGTGTGCCTCTGAAACTTAAACTGACAAATACAATAATATATATTTAGCATTTCATCTGAGGTTTCGCTCAAGCTGAAGGCTGAGGAGGAGAAGGAGATTTGTCATGCTGAGCTTTATTGAAGACTGTCAGAGGGAGACCTGCCCTGACCCGGGTCACGCTTTAGCTCACTGCTTTGGAACTATGTAGAAGTGAAATTAAGGCACCGTACCTCGAACCACCACCTTGCACTCCACCTCGTCCTGCCCCAGATCGTTGACGGCCCTGCAGGAGTACCTGCCCCCATCAAACAGGCTCGGCTTGCGGATATTCAGAGTCAACACGCCCTGGTTGTTCTGCATCAGGAACTTGGGGTCTTCACCGATGATCATGTTGTTCTTCATCCAAATGATCTTTGGCTGTGTTTGCAGGAGGAAGCGAAATTGACGGGATGGAGGACAGGAAAGGAAAAGGAGGAGGAGGGAGTGTATAAACAGAGCGATGGATGTGGGGAGGGAGGGAGAGCAGAGGAGAGAAGAGGGAAGAGGTGAAATTAGGTCAACATTTCGGTTTGACAAATCTTTGCCGATTCGGTGGGATAAAAAAAAAAAAAAAGTGTCTTCAAAGATCTTTCTGCTCCACCTCTTGTTCTAGCTTCAGACATAAAAATACATTCCTGCTGCAAAGGCATCAAAATCCTCTCTGACTGTTCTACACTCGCTGTTTGACACACCAAACTTGTACGCTCACTCGAAAAAATACAAAGCATGAAATCTGTGGCGTACCCTTGCAGCATAGTATCAGGGGCCAATGCAGGTAAAGTGAAAACAGGATGGTGTTATAGTGCTGTTTTACGCTACACTCAATGGGGCATCTCTGGCTGTGTGTTCAACAGGTTTTCATGCTAAATGACAGGCCAAAATGTTTCCTGTATTCTCACAGTGACCTCAGGAATGTGCAGTATGCTTTATCCTCCTCTGACTTTAACATTATTTGACCCTTATTGTAACCTTATATAATATTATAAACTACAAAGATATTTGACACGTTTCAATCTGTAATCTGCACACAGACTCACAAACTATCATAATACACATTGTAGTAATAGAAAAAAATACACACAACTGGATATTAACTCCAATGAAAGGGAATAATTTCACTGATGTTCACCCATTAAAGCTAGAGTATGCAGTGTAGTCCAGAGACTTTTTGTTTTTTTGTGATATCTGTTAAAAGTCTCTTGACATCCTGGGTGTTCTGATGATAAAAAAGAAAACATCTGTTATCTTTGACAGTCACAAATTTGTAAAAGTCAGTTGCATTTTGTCCACCATAAAATGCAATATGGCAAACATCCCACTTGTGGATCCAAGCTGTTCGAGTCAAATCAGCTCAAATTTAAAAATAATAATTTTAAAAAAGGGTTAAAATCAAACATTTATGAAGTTATATATATATGAAAGGACATTTTGTAAAGTGGGATACAGCCTATTTGTGTATTTTTAGACATGAGGTAGCTGAATCCAAAGGACTTGGACACCCAAAGGGAGGGTGGTGGGATTTTTCTTAATTGTATGTTTTCAAAATCCAGTCTACTTCTGCTGCTTCCTACATTCCTGCATATTCTAGCTTTAACGGTGAACATGTAGATACCTTTGGGTAGCCTCGAACAGCGCAGCTGATGGCTGCGGCGTAGCCTGCGATCACACTTCTGTCCACCAGAGGAGCTGTGAATTTGGGGCAACTGTTCTTGTCCTTCTCTTTGTAAGGTGCACGGTTACAGGTCAAACCTGGAGAGCAGAAGACCTCGAGGTAACACACAAACACTGCAAGGTGCAAACCAGTGGGAGTCAATAAATATAAAACATGGTACAGAACCTGTTCTTCACTACGCTGAACTTTAATTACTGAGCTCTCAGCTTTCATCATCTGTTTGTAGTTTACTCAAACAAGGCATATGAGTGGGAACAATGGATATTCTACCTTATTATCCATTGACTGATTAAGAGAATGTGTTGTGTATTCTAGAAAACATCATGATAAGATACATGAATGCCAGATAGCAGAACATATTTTGGTGAAAAAATAATGTAGTAGAGAAAGGATTAGTAATGTGGTGTAATTTTAAAGGTACAATTTGTCTAGTTTGTGTCATGCTGTAAAGTCAAATCTGCATAAGGAATGTGTAAAACAGGGACTGAAACGCCTAATTAGTAACCTGCTATAATCACTTTCGGCTGCTTTAGGTTTGTTCTGCCACACCAGCAAACTGTTTCGATTAGCAGCCTGCCCTTTGAATTATCGAGGCAGGAAACTGACTTTTGTTTCGGAGTCAGGTGGGCACCGTGATCAACAATCCTCACGATTTTATAGGCCAGACTGCTGCTTGGAACACAAAAGAAATAGGCTGGTGGGCTGCCAAATTTTCTGGTAGAGTAAGCAAATGCAACAACACAAAAACAGTAGCAGCATTTGGCTGGTGGCAGGTGTTAATTTCCCAGCCTGGTTGCTTTCATGATCTGCGGCCAGTATTCGATGCTATTTAACTCTGCCAGAGAAGATTTCTGTTGTGCATAAACACTGTGAATTAATTTTCCTTTAAATTACGTTCAACTAATTAATCACAATCAATAATTAATCACGAGCAGTTCTTATATTACTGCGTTCTACAGTAAACATAGCATTGGTTTGTGCTTTCATACGCTCATTTCTTCAGTATCCCATCACATATCTTAATGCTCCCTTTATGTTCCAATTGAATACAATGTGGCCTACAGCTCAGCATGACTTAGATGTTGCTTGGCCTCAAAAGCAATGCTATCATGTTACAGTGCTCCTTGCTCTGCAGGGATTTCATTACCTGTTTTGGTAATGACAGCGGTGTTCTTGCTGATTCCGGCCTCATCGCTGAGGCCACAGATGTTTTCGCTGAACACTCGAAAGGAATACTCGTTCCCCATGACCAGGTCAGACACAGTGCAGCTGGGCCTGCGGTTGTGTTCATAGACCGTGAACCACTCCTGATGTGAGAGAGAGGCAGACGCACAGAGAGAGGAGAAGCAGAGGTTCAAAGAGGCTTACAGCTGAGGGTGAAGATCTATATAAGCTGAAGAATCTCCAATCCCCAGCATCCGTGTTCTTCTAGTCCAAGTTCCTGTCGATTCATTCAACATAAGGACCATGAAAGTGCAGCAAGGATTTGCAGTTATGTGACAAGCATGGCTAGAAGTTCAAAAATAGAAGCGCTGTGCACTGATCAGCCACAACATTAAAACCATCAGCATAGGGCCACCTTAGGGTGTTCTGATCAATCAGAGAATGGACTTCTGAAGGTAATGGATGTTCAACCAAGTAGAGGTCAATGCTGAGCCAACACTTTGGGCTCTTTGTTGTGTTCATCGAGCCGTTCTTGAGCAGTTTTTGCAGTTTTGCAGAGACTGCTGCCACTGGGGTGAGGGTGGACGCTTGCTCTGCAATGATGCTTTTTAAAATCTTTTATAACTAAAGTTCTTTTTTGGTGGTTGTTTTTAAATTGACATTGTATTTACAGTATATTTAGAAAGTTGTTACACATGAGAAGAATTCCAGCTTGCATCACTGCACTGGCTATCAGTTAAACAGAATTGATTTTAGGTTTCTCTTATTTGTTTATAAAGCCATGCATTGGATGGCTTCTGGGTACATTTTCAAACTTCTTTTTAAATCCTCAGCACAGCTGCTGTTAACTGTTTCACAATCGTGGGGATAAGTGGGTAAGGGGAGATCATGCCTTTGCAGCTGCAGCTTTGGAACAGCCTTCTTCGATTGATATTTTTAAAAAAAACAAAAAAACCTTAAGACGTACATGTCTGGCTCTCCTCCCTCCACCACTCAGCCCCTGTTCCCTGTTTCTCCCAGTGACCCCAGCAGGCCTACATATTCTCATGACAGGTATGAAAACCTCCACCGGCTCTCGGACCCCATACCTTCAAAACTTATCATGGACTGCCTCCCTGCCATCTCACCTCTGACCATTGCCATCATCAACGCCTCCCTCAGCTCTGGTTCTGTGCCTCAACCCCTCAAACTGGCTGCTGTTACCCCATAATCAAAAAACCCGGACTTAACCCTGACAATACAAACAATTTCCATCCCATCTCCAACCTCCCTTTTCTGTCGAAAATACTGGAACGTGTCGTTGCCCACCAACTCAAAACCCACCTTTCCTCTAATAAACTGTTCGAACCATTTCAGTCCGGCTTCACACCCAGACACAGCACCAAAACAGACTTCCTTAAAGTCACCAACGACCTTCTCCTCTCTGCAGACTCCAGACACCTCAGCATTTTCATCCTCCTCAACCTCACAGCACCCTTCGACACCATCAATCACACCATCCTCCTCTCTCGCCTGCAATCAACTCTCCACATTACCAGCACTGCACTCTCATGGATCACATCATACCTCACTGACAGACACCAATTCATCAATATCAACAACTGTACTTGCCCCACAGCTCCCCTGTCCCGGGGTGTCCCCCAGGGTTCGGTGCTTGGTCCCCTCCTCTTTACTCTCTACATTCTCCCAATCGGCAACATCATTCGTCGTCACAGTCTCTGCTTCCACTGCTATGCTGACGACATCCAACTTTACATCTCCACAAATTCCATATCTACCCCAGCCATCTCTACCCTGACTAACTGTCTAACTGAGATCAAATCCTGAATGAACATTAAGTACCTCCAACTCAACTGCGAGAAATCCAACCTCTTAATCATTGGTCCCAAAACCCTCACCTCAGCTACCAACAATTTCAACCTCACTATTGACAGCACTTCCCTCACCCCGTCATCACATGTCCGCAACCTTGGAATCATTTTCGACTCCCATCTCAATCTGTAACATCACATCAATCACATCACCAAAACCACATTCTTCCACCTCATAAACATTGCCCGTCTGCGCCCATCTCTCACCTTCTCCCCTGCTGAAACCTTGATACATGCTTTTATCACTTCCAGACTTGATTACTGCAAAAGCATCTTCTACGGCCTTCCCACCAAACAACTCAACAAACTACAATATATCCAGAATCCTGCCACCCTCCTGCTCACCCACACCGGCTCCCGTGACCACATCACCCCCGTCCTCCAAAACCTACACTGGCTCCCCATCAAAGAACGTATCCATTTTAAAATCCTCCTCCTCACCCACAAAGCCCCCCATAACCAGGCCCCCTCCTACCTCACCAGCCTGCTCCACCACTACACCCCCTCGTAACCTCCGATTTTCTGATGCCCACCTCCTGTCCATACCACCTGACACCAAGCACCGAACCTGGGGGGGACAGAGCTTTCTCTGTCGCCGCCCCCACCCTCTGGAACTCCTTACCACCAAACATCTGGAACTGCCCGAACCTGTCCACCTTCAAGTCACTCACCAAAACTCACCTCTACAAAATTCTTTTAATGTGTGATTGTTTTTAAATGCACTCAATGTTTTTTTGCTTTCTGCTGTTATTTTTTTGCATGTTGTTTTTATTTCTTGATGTTGTTATTCACTATGCAGCGTGTTTGGGCGTTCGAAAAAGCGCTTTATAAATAAAATGTATAATTGTTATTATGTGCAGCATTGTGGTCAACTCCAGTTGTTTTAAATGTGCTATTTATAGCAAAAGGATGGTTTCTTTGTGATCATTCATCCTAATTAGTTTTGCATTGTCTCTAAAAAACATTTCCAAAATCCTGTCCTTAAGCTCTTGTGTGCTTTTTGAACAGCTTGAGAAACAGTCTCCATCTATCAACCCCTTTGCGCTCATGCAGGATGTAGTTCCTTGTCAGGTAGAATGTGTGCCTGGTAAGGGCCAACACCATGGTCATGAAGTTGAAGTTGACAAAAGACAAACCATGTTGGCTGCATCTCCTCAACCATTTTCTCATCCAGCCTTGTTTAACCTTCTGCTTTGTTTTTTTTTTGGTTTGTTTTGTTTTTAAAAAAAAAAAATAATTTGCATTGTGAAGTACTAGTACATTACGTTGTTGCACCACAGTCATGTGAGGTCCCTAACTCCTCTCTCTGGCATGATAATCCTAACAATATCCTGTAGTGTGTGATGTATCAATCTTTTCAGATCTCGTAGTGTGAGCATGTCTGAGATTAGAGAGAAGAGTATCTGTGAAGTTTCTCCTCATGTGTGCGATGCAACCCGAATTTCAAATCTGTCAGGTTTGTAAAACTCCAGTAGTGTGACTCTGGTATTAAGAGGTTTCCATCTATAGCTTAGTTAACACGAGTAAATGTGTGTGTATCATGAAACACAAAAATAAGGTTGGGATTTCACGCCAATCCATGAGAAAAGTACGACCTTCATCAGCTCGTGACTGGTTGATGAGACGTTTTTATTGCACAACCAGCAACAATCAGGTGCAATGAGGTGCAAAAAACACAACCTCAGGTCCTCCATGTGACTCCATGTAACTATTTTTAACAGCGGAAAGAAGCAGAACACAGACATGTCACCTTTTAAAGTGATATGGTGAAGTTGCTGTAATACAGTGACTTTCAGAAGCTACAGATAATTTCTTACTCTGGTTTTAAAGGCTCTTATTTTCATTTCATTTTAAGATTTTGCTTTCAGTTTTTGAACCAGCTCCTGATTATTTTCTGATATGTTGGTGAGATTTTAAGATCCTCTAACTCTGAGCTCTAAATGCTCTCCAGAGTAGAACTAAAATGCACAGAGATGCAACATTCTGTGTCATTGGCCCTTATCGCTGAAACAACTCCCCAGAGAAGGTCATTTTACCTCAAGCAAAACTTTAAACTTACCTTTTTAGGCTTGTGTTTATATAGTTATATGTAGTTTCATTTAGTTTACTGGTCTCAGACCTATTGATTACTTTATTTAAGGCTTTCGAGCACTTTGAGTTGCATTTGGTGCATGGACTCTGCTGTACATATAAAGTTGTCCAGATGATGAATTTTATTGCAGTATATATATATATTTTTTATTTTTTTTTAATTTATTTATTTATTTATTTATTTTGGTTTTTTTTTTTGCAAATTGGTGAATACAAGTTCAGCATTCAGGCATTTTTAGCTCTTTGTTTGGAGTCTACCAACTCCTGAGAGAGACATCTAGTTCTTTAGCTGCTAAATGATCCACTATGCTCACCAGCTAGTTCGCTAACAGTGTCTGTCTGCCATTTGGTGCTGAGCAGGAAGTGCAAAGTGGCGTTTTAGAGATTTATTGCTGCCTGCTACAGCCAAAAATGATGCTGAAAAGCACGCTGAGGATGAAACAAAGCAGTTGAAGGCTGGGAAGTGAGTTGAAAAACGCAATGAATCTCTGCAGAGCTGAATGTAACTGCTGAATTGGGTTGTAATTCTTTATGGGCTCATCACCATTCCATGTTACACGCAGTCATTTGATCTAAAATTATTATTTGTCAACAACAGCTATGGTCCTTTTGTCAAAGCAGAAAGCTTCGAAATGAATCTCTAAAATGATTGATACATAGTGTGTAAGTAGAAGCAGAGGACGTTTATAAAATACACGGTTCATCTGACCCAGTAAGTACACTATTGCCCCATCAGTAACCTGCACTGTAGTTGTTCTCTTTTAAGTGCAAGATGGAAAACGCAAGCCTTGATGAACAGATAAAAGCAAAGTGAGGAAACAGTTTGGGTTTCACAGTATGGCTAGAAAAATGTCTTTTTGCTGACTTGAATGTAAACTGCAGCTGCCTTACGTGGGAATGTGTTGTTTTTTTTTACATTTGGCACATACAGTACAGTGTTTTAGGCTGTTGTCCACGTTCAGATTCTTTTCTAGATTCATCTTGTAACACAATCAGGGAAGGTGTGAGTTATAAAACACTCTCTTTACCCAAAAGAAGAACAACAAAAAAAATTAAAGCC